GTCAGAAGTGGGGGAACTCTGAGATGATGGGGGAGGTCAGAACTGAGATGCCAGAGTGGATTTGAGCAGGAGGTGGTCCCTGCCCTCCTTCCCCCTGAAAAATAATCTATGGAGGGGGGTGAACAGGGAATGCCCCCTGGGCTTTCAAACATTCAGATTCCACCAAATCCTTGAGAACTGCAGACCTTAAAGCAAAAAGATCTACTACCTTACATACAGGCAGGAATGATTCTTAGATTCTCTGCAGTTCTCCATCAAATCTAAATCTGTCCCAGGAGAAGAAAATACAAGGACAGCTGGGTGTGTGTGTGTGTAGATAAAGACCTTTTCTCTTGCCTTACTTTTTCCTATTCTTCCCATCTTCTCTCTCCCCCCCCCCACTGCACTAGAAAGTCTTTGCTCCCCCATCCAATAGGCTATTAAAAAAAAAAAAAACCTCTTGAATCAAGGGTTGGAGCCACTTGGGTGACAAGGGAACATTCTGCACCTCTTTCTCCCTTTCCCCCAAAAAGGAAATGAGGGACAAATTTAACCTTTTCTCTGCTGCGCCCTTCCTCTTATTAACCTCCCCTTTTCTCCTCTTTTTATGATTCTTTGTTGAAACCTATCCCCCTTGATATGCTGCCTGGTGCAAAAAAAAGAAACCTCTGTGCTCAATTTCTGTCTGCATCTAAGAAGATGTCAACAAAGAAAAGGAGCCCAAAAGTAAAGAAAAATTCAGCTCCGTGTAAAAAGCAGGGGGCAGGAGGTTAAAATAAATAATGGGGGTGGCTCAGGGAGTAAAACAAATTGTGGTTACTCAAGAGTATGCAAAAAGGTTTGCTGATATAAGAACCTTCTCCGGATAATACAGCAAATGGAGTCGATGCTCAGTCATTTTTTTTTACCCAGGACCAGTTTGGTCCTCATTAACTCAAGTTCTCTGAAAGCTGAGGTAGCATTAGACCATTCGGTGGCTTTCAAAACTGCCCACCTTCCTGCCCTCCATAAAATTCTCCCAAGGTGGAAGCTACAAACTTTATAGTCACACATTCCTTTTGTAAATGGACTTCATTTAGGGCAAATAGAGATATCATTGTCTGCAAATCTCTTTCTGTCAGGGCAGGAAGGGGCCTTGTCAGCAAAATCCAGTTCCAGCCTTCAGAATGGATTTGGAGGATTGCTTTCTGCTTTCCCCCTTGAAGGGGGGGGGGGGGGGAGGCTGGCGGGTGGCAGGGGCATGGATCCCTTGGGAACCCCCCAAACTCCATTTCTGCTTTGAAATAATTATGTTTCCCAGTTGCAGCACCTACTTCTCCCCATCACACCTCAAAGAACTGGGATTCTGTTGCAAACATTGAAAGGTAGGTTGGGTGATGGGTTCAAAATCAGGCAGGCTTGCAAGAGGAGGCCCCACAAGGGTTGGCCAGATGTGAGTGGGTCCCACCCTCCCACTTTAAATAACCCCATAGGCAGTCACAGCAACATCCCCCTTGTTACCATAAGTCCTCTGATATCGTGGACGTGGTCCCTACTTGCAGAGGAAAAAGGAGTGTTGTTCTTTATTGCAGCTGTTTAAATGCAAAGGACAGAAATAACGGGTTTAAAAGGCAGGGATCTGCGCGATCTTTCTTGGAGAGCCAGGGGAAAGGAAATGGTGGGTGGGGGATGACCTTAAAAATGAAATGAAGGGAAACTGGCCAGAGGCAGTACATACCAAAGTTCTTTTCCTGCACGAACCCGTCTGGGGATCCTTCTCTGCCACACAACCAGAGCAAAAAGAAAGGTGTACCTGTATCCCATTTTACGCGCGCGCTCTTTCTCAGGCATGCACAGATACAAACAACCGCCCGTGGCAAAAGGCTGCAATCAAGCTCCAGTCGCTCGCCAGATCTACGGACAAAGAGCAAAGAGGGAAGGCACTGAATACCTAAGGCGATCCGCGCAGGATGGGCTGCCTGGAAATCGGGGGGTCGTCCCGGGTGGCGCGGCTCTGCAGACGGAAGGCAACCGCCTTTTCCTCCTCTTCTTCGTCTAGACAGCGAATCTGCACGGGAACTTCCATCCTGGGCCGAAGCGCAATCTGGCCAACTTCAGCCTTGCTGGCCCGCCGCCGCCGCCGCCGCCGCCTTCATATGCCCCCCCCGCCCCCAGCCAAGCGCGCCCGGTTCGTGCTTGTAATCCGTCCCCGCGAGCTCCTTTTCCCGCCCCCCTCTCCCCCTCGCAAGTTTGCCCGAGGAGAAACGGGGAGCAGCGGCGAGGAAGAGCAAGGCAAGAGCGATCGCCCGGAGGAAGAAGAGAGCGCTGGATGCAAATCAGTCAAGCGGGTCATGGCGCCTTTGCAAAAAACGCAGCTCGCCGGACGCGCCGCGCCTCGCCTTCTGCCTTCCCACAGCGGCGTTGCCGCCCGCTTCCAAGGACAATCGCGTGGCTCCCTCCGAGGCGGCCACGACGGAGAGGGGGAGTGAATAGCCTGGCCCCGACCGCTGAATCGCCTGCTGCATCGAGAAAGCTCGTTCCCCTCACTGCTTTCCTTCGGCGAGGGGCTACTCGGCCTGAGGGTTTCCGGAATCCGCGGGAGGTGGCATCTCTGACTCGCCTGGCTCAGCTGTATCCTTTTTCCTGCCTGTCTGAGAGACAATTGGTGCTGGCGGGGTGGGTCTGCCGTGCAACGACGATGGGGAGAGAAAGAGAGGGAGGCAAATGTTGGATCAGGTCAGCGTCTTATCCCAGTCTCTAGCAGAGCAGCACCGAAAGGCTTTGGGGGTGGGGGGAAGGAGAGAGCTTTTCCAGATGGCTGTAAAAACTGGGCTGGAGATGGGAAGCGGAGGAAGCAAAGAGAGATGTGCAGCTGGACCATCTGCTAGAATCTAGTTGTGTGTATCATCCCACCTGCACTTCTTCTGGAGTAAGTATCACTAACTTAATAAGGTTAATTGAAGATTGCCATGGAAATCAAGCGCCCCAAGGAAATAGAGTTGAGCAGGGGGACTCTTGTCAGGTGAAACAATTTCAGTTCAACAGTGATGGGGAAGATGGGAGGGCTTCTGAGGAGGAGGGGGGCATGGCTTTTCACCTGACAACCAAAACCGCTTGAGAAGGCTCATAGACTTGGTGGCAGGCAATAAGGACCCTCCCACATGGACACACACAAACTAGGACCTTATCTGCATTGCATTTGGAGTGTTGACTTTCTTCCAAGGAGTGAACATCAGAGGAAGTGGTCTTCTACATAGACCTAGGTCAGTATTACCTACACTAAATATCAGTTGGGCTCTGCGGGCTCAGACGGGGTTTTCCCCATCTCTCCCTGGAGATGTCAAGGACTGAAATTAGTGTATGTCAAACATTTATTGCTGACTTTCAGCACACTTTGGATGCAGCATGTAAGGGTTGTTTATTATGTTCTTATTCCTTAGACTGGTATCCTGCTTTTCCTCCTGGAGCTCAAGACAGCACTTCCTTATCCAGTTTTTCCCCACCACTGCCCTGTGAGGTAGGTTGGGTTGAGATAGTGGTTGGCTTCATGTCAGCCACTGAGATTCCATGAGATGGGCTTGTTCACTACCTAAAGCAAACCTAGGCAGAGTTCTTTGTTTCAGGCTGCCTAGCAAGCAGAGTGTTCTTTGGCATGACCCATCCCATAAGGATTTTCTCCAGAAGATATTCTTCCAAACAGAGTATGAAACAGTATCTACAGGTCTGGATAGGAATTATTCTATTGTAGACTCAGTATTTGCCCCTTAGCCATACTTTTGTGTCACGCCTGTGAAGATATACTAGTACTTATGCACTAAAGTGGAAGTGTTTATATGCACAATCTTTTGCAGGTAGACCATTAGTGATGGTCCATTGCTAGAAGCATCAGGCGAGTGTCAAAATGATCAATTTCCTATCCTTCAAGTGTATGCTTTAAGAAGAATCACACTCATTATGACAGATCTTCTGGTTTAGAATAAAGATAAGAAATACAAGGTTTTGGTCTGTCCCTCCATATAGTTTATAGGAGCTGTTTTCTGAACTGAACTTGAAAAGAAGATCAGCATTATAGGTTATCTTCAGTAATGACTCTCAGCATGAGAATAACATGGAAGTGGCAAGCTTTTTTGGTCCAAGGGCTATCCTTGGTGTTTCAGTGATGTATGAAGACCTACACCCCAAAAAGTGCGTGGAACTGAGGCAAACAATAGGTAGGGCTAACCGGGCAGAAACATAAATTTGATTTATTTTAAATGTAATTAACTGCAATTCCTTTCCATTCTTCTATTACATATAAATTAGAATTTTATGGCAACTTTTATGCATTACATGTATGATGGTTAGGACCAGGTTCCCCTTTCGGCCAAATCTTGGGTCTCTCAGCAGGTGGTTGTGTGACAGAGTTCTTAGTAGAGTATCTCAGCTGCTTATTGCATTTTATTTGCAATGAAGATCTCGGAGGATTGAATTCTGACCTCTGTTTTAATTCATGGGATGTGTTGGGGGAAGACCCTTAGCTTGGAAACTGGTGCTTGAAAGAGCTTTGGGGACTGGATTGGATCCCAGAAAACCAGTGGCTTGTCCCAAATAAGAAGCTCCTCTTTGTTGCATGCATATGCAACACAGAGGGTAAGGAAATCCCAGATGATGGGTGGGGGGCAAAGAAGGAGATTTTCCCCACATATTCTTCCCCACCTCTACTTTAAATGCTTCTTTCATATATAATCCCAGTTTAAGAAAAAGTAACGTGTCTGAATTTGGACTCTGGAGAAAAGGAAGAGACTTGGGGGAAGTTACAAAATATAATACTCTTGTAAGCATGTTCTTTAGGACCCTAAAATGTTGAAAACACTGGTCTTGAAATATTTTCTTTATTTAAGTTGTTATTAGAAACATAGTAATCATCATGACTAGGATTTTTAAAATTTCCTTTAAAAAAAAATAATTTATGTTCCTCTGTCTGTCCAGTTTGTCCATCTGACTTTCTGTTGCTAATGCTTTAAAACTACTGATTGTTTTATAGCTAGCCCTTTTATATGCATTGCTGTTTGTTGCCTTGAAAGTCACTGGACATGGCAGGTTGTAAATCTTTTCCCAGGAAATAAAATAATATTGTTGCTAATAAAATTTAAATGTGTAGAGAATCGGATTTACCATTCCATCTCCTATGGAGTGTTGCCTCTGAAAATGGAAAGCCTCTTCTTTAGTCACCTCTCTCCACTGTGATGATCCCAGCCACTGCCCAGATTTTGAACACAAATTAAGGCAGGGAAGTTGACCAGCAAATGTCCCTTTCTGAGAATCTTATTTGAGCATTACATTTCTACAGGGGGTTTCCATTAGGCTCACCACACCCCTCCTGAGTGCAGTCATTTTTAACACTCCATCCTACACTGCTGGATGAAAATCAACTCATTGCATCTTCTGAAAGGTCTTCCCCCTACACTCCTTTGGGTAATGGAGCTAGGGAGAGAAAGACAGGAGTGGGGAAGCTACAGCCACAATACTGAGAAAAGAATGCAACTAATGAGGAAAAAGAGTCACTGCAGGGCTGGGATCTAGAGGGCGGCAAAGCGTGGGCTTTTGCTGAAGCTTGGAGATTGGCAAAGAGCCCATGATTGCAACAGTGCAACCACCATTAGAACAGAGCCTTCTAGAAGTCCAGCAGTAATATGAGATAATTGTCATTTTGCCTGCCCTGTTTTAATAATATAACTTGGTCCATGTAGTCTAGCATCTTTCAGTCTGCAAGCTCACGAGTGGCATGAAGCAAAGGCACCATCCTGTTCGAAATGCCCTACAAGTGGTATGCAGAATATTGGTACTCTGACCCTTCCCATAATAAATGAGTGCCATCTGCATTCATTTGTCGTAACTCCTTTTTTAAAAGCACTGAAGTTAGCAGACATCACTGGTTGGTGCTTGCATCAAAGTGCCACACATCCAAGACTGATTCAGCATTTGTCATAACTTCAATAATACAGGTATTTATATATGCCATGCTGGAACTAATTTGATTATGAATATATCAAATTTCATGAAGAGTTGTGATCAAGATAGAGTCCAACTAAACCAGAATCCTGTAGTTTATCACAGAGACCAGTCAGGTTCCTGTGGGAGACTCACTTCAGGATTTTCAATAGTGGCATCTCTGCTCTTTCTGTACATGGAGCTCCTATGGGACCAAGGTGATGAATGACCATTCAGTCTCCTCTTTGAAGTTGTCTATTTTCCTTTTAAAGTCATCTTGATCAGTAACCATCATCATTTTTTGCTACCCACTTCTGTACATTTTACCTGTTCTTTGAAGGCATTTTTTTTTCACATTGCTTCAAATTTTCTAGTTGACATTTTGGCTATGAATGCTTGTATAACTACAACTAGATCTTGTGCTACTAGCAAATCATATAACCTTCCTTCATAGTATGCAGGATTTTTAAAATTTCAGTTCTATCCACTTCTTCATTTTTTCAATAAATGAAAAGCCACAAATACTTCAGATTTTCTTTCCTTTTTTAAAAAAAACCATGTATCTTTTCTACAGTGCCTTCAGCTCTTTGAGATACAACCAGAGATCTAAAAGCAACCAGAAATATCCATCATACTATGAATAAAGTAGAGTCTCAACTGTGTATAAAAGCATTTAGATATATCTTCCAGGCTAAGGGAGATTATGAAAGATTACTTGCTCAAGGGCTTACAACTTCTTGGTCTTAACATTGAGTAGTTTCTGTCATTGCAGTTAAGGAAGGATAGGCCAGTATGATTAAATGAGACAGTGTATGCTTATACCTGTAATGTATTCAGAGTTCTGTATTCTCCCTGCATTTGGGGGGGGGGGTTATATTTAAATTCGTAGCAATTTGCGGCTGAAGAGGTGAGTTGGGGACTGTGACTATTTAACAGATAGAAAACTGAAACTGAAAAGAGAAAGTGACTTTTCCAAGTCAACAGCAATCACTTATTGAAATGGTGGAACTTGATGTCAGCTCTCTCCAGGTTAAGCTAAGTATGAGAAAAATAGGTAGAACTTACATCAGGCAAAATGTCATGGCATTCTGTGGAATGTCATGGCAGTATGGAATGAAATCAGTTGTATAATAGGGGTACCCAACCTGATGCCTTTCAGATATTTTGGACTTTAGTTCCCAAGAGGCTTAGCTTATATGATCCATGATAATGGAACATGGACACTGTAATCAAACGTCAGGAAGGCACTAGTTTTCTACCCTGTTCTAGAGGCAGAAATACAAAATGTGTGTTAGATGTGTTATTGGCTTTTTTTAGTGATGAGGGCATCTTCACTAGCATTCAGCCTCTTATCTGTAAAATTCCTCTGTTACATCACTATAGGGATGTAGTTAGCAGTTACTCCTTGCTGAACTCAGACATTCTGCATATGGTCAGAGGTTCTCTAGTTTCATCACAGAGATATTTTTGACAGGTTCTGGTTCATATTCTTTTTATAAACTCCAGCTTCAATCAAAACCTGAAAGAAGGCACATAGAGGAAGGAGGGAAATGAATTGTATTGTGAGATCTCTTCATCCAGCCAAAACCTTTGCTCAAAAAGAGCAAGAGCTTTGGAAGAATCAGGATTTACACTCTCAGTGCAGTATTTCAGTCTCTATTTGCATGTCTAATAATATCCACAGTACAAGTATGAATATGTAGCTTTGCAAGCACGTTTTCTGCGAAGAGAACAGAGTGGGTTCAGTTCAGGGATGAGATGGGATTCATCAGAACACGAGAACATGTGGCAATTCCAAGTAGGAGGGTGAAACATAGGCAAGGGAATCGTGAAGCTGATTCATCTGGTGAAGCAAAAAGCATTTAGGGGAAATGCCAAAGGCAATCTCTCTCTGAAAATTTGAGTTCTCTGCTGACCAGCGGTTATGCTGATCTGATGTGGATGTAATACAAGAACTTTTATTTTATATATTCAACTATTCTGAGAAAATTTCTAGGACATCAGCCCAATTTCAGAACCAGTTTACACAAATGTGATCCAGAAAAACAATCAAAGTCTGATGTATTTTTTTTTTTTCTCTCTACCTGTTATCACTGCATTGATGAAACAGCATTTTGCTTCACATTTCCTTCAAGGGAGAACTTTGTTAAAATTCATGTAGTGGTCTTGGATATATTTAATTCTGAGACAGCCAAGAAGTATGTGTGGAAATTCCCTGTCTTTCATTGTGCACCAGTCAGGGAGGCTTCAGAGTGATGGAACGATGTGTAGAACAGAAAACAGCGATTGTATCCTCTATCATCACGTCCATTCAAAAAGAACCGAGAAAAATTTGGAAAAATTCTCAAGTACCTTGAGAATAGGTTGAAGAGAAAGAGAAACCTGATATATAGGCAAGGTCGGTAGGTAGGGGACTTTTGAAAAATTGTAAGGCAGATGTTGACATAAAAATAGTACTAATTATCTCTTCTCCCCCTCCTCCTCTTCTTCCAAAAGTGAATTTACTTCATGTTGACTTCTCTGGAAATTTTGTGTCTGTATTGTTCCACTGCATGTCCGAGCATGGTTCTGGCAATATAAAATGAATTAGCACTACCACCAACCAGTAGAAGCCCCATAGGTTGTATATTTTGCTAGGTGATGCCTAGAAAGGACATATGAATTGGAATCAGTATTCTCTATTATTAGGACATTTGGGAATTACTAAAATGCAGGAAAAACTCCTTAGACATGAATGCTGGCTGGGTGACTTTGGGCCAGTCACTCTCTCTCAGCCCGGCTCACCTCACAGGGTTGTTGTTGTGGGGAAAATAGGAGGAAGGAGTATTAGATATGTTCGCTGCCTTGAGTTATTTATAAAAATAATAAAGGCAGAATAAAAAAATCTAAAAAAAAATAGTCCAAAGAGAAGGGATTGAAGCTCTGAAGTATTACAGATGGTTTGCAAACAGCGAATCCCTGATATGGCCAGTTTAACAAAAAGATTGGGTAGCAGGTGATGGGAAATTATGCAGCAATTGTGCTAAAGCTAATTTGGTCTGGATGGGAGAAGCATCTGGATGAGAGAACACCTGGGAATTGTATTCATGTTGTACTGAGCTTCTGGATAGAAGGGGAGAAACATAGCTTTAAAAGTTAATGCTTTCCATATTAAAATAATACATTGTGTTAGTTTGATTAGAGTGCCATATCTTATTTATATTTACAGCTTGATCCAATCTTGGTATAGTAGCTGGGCTATATCATAAAACAACCTTTAGGATGATCATCATAAGGGTCGCTCCATTGCATGGTGAATGAATCGAATTCCATGTAGTCAAACAAAGGGGATTACAGAGGAAAGATGAAGGACTTTATCCTTTTTCCATGCTCAGCATACAAACCAAATAAGCTGCAACAGAAGCTAGCAGAAAAATGTTTCTATTTTTTTCCCCATCCCCAGCAGGCTGATGAAGTATGGTAGGCTATTAGCTCATGCTTGTTTATGTAAAAGACTGACATAAAAACAATATGAATTGAAGGATATTGAACAATATTTGTAAACAATTGACTCAGTTGTTAATCTTAAGAATGTCTGCTATCCTAGACAGGTTTTAAAAGAGGTTATAGGAGGAACAGGTTTGACTGGACAAGAGTGAGACTGAGGCTGATTTGAATGTGGATTTTAAAATGACAGGTTACACGAATGATATGGAAAAAAAATGTTATACTGGATATACAAATGAAACCAGCTGATGTCTTAATAATTAAAAGGTATATACAAATAAGAAACCAGAAGAGTGACTTGGATAACTTTCTTATTTTGGCTTTACAAAAGAGACTTGTTGAAGTTTTGAAGGATTTTCTGAGAAGTGACAAAGAGAAAATGAAAAGAAATCAAGTTCTGGGATATTATTTAAAGGGATTAAAGATCAAGATTGTTAAAACCAAAGGGAAGGAATATAAAGTTGGTTTATTTGATTAAGGTATATATATTTGGTAACTCTTAATGGACCAGGACTGAATGACGAGCCTTTAAAGACTTGTTTATAGATAAGAAATACATGGGAAAAAGAGATCTTTTATTGTATTTTCAGAGAAGGTAAAAGTCATTTCTTTATGTATTTACTTTTTCTTTACGATATTCTTATTTTTTTCTTTTCTGATTTTTTTTATTTTATTTTCTGCACTTTCTATCTTTTCATTCTTTTCTTTTTTTAGTTTGTATTAATTTTTTATCTTTGTAATTATAAACTTTAATAAAATTATTATAATATATATACATATTATATATGTATATGTATATATATAGTCATTAAATAGGGGCAAGGCAGTCTCTAGATGAAATTTTTCTGTAATATTCATTGGTTTTAATCATGTTATCATGCTTTGAAGTTCTTAATGACTGTATTTCTACCTATGAAGTAAGAGGCATAAGATGTAACTTGCCATTCATGCTTCCTATAGAATATACCCCTTTTTTTTTCCTTTCCCCCCTTTTGGTTAATTTACTTTGAACATTGTCTTTCTATCAATTTGTTGTTCTTCCTCTATCTTCAGGCAAGACATGAGTTTATGTATTCTGTTAGCTGTGATGTCTAAGGATCATAAGGTCGCTTATTGGCAAAGAACTCAGAAGGCCATCTGTGCCCCAACTACCAGTTCTCACAGAGCAGCTCACAAATGACAGCATGCTGGAGAAAGGTAATGCAGTATAAATAGCATCTGGATAAATAGCAATCAGACCTGGAAGTAAATTCTATCCCTATCTTAGCAATGGCAGCCAAGTCAGTCCCTAGAGAGGTAGCCCATTATTCAGTGAGAGAATAAAATCTTTGTTGTGCCTAAGTCCCAAACATCTCTACGGAATGTTAGGCAATAAGTTTGGGGAAGAGTCCTGCCTGAAAAGAGGCCCATAGGACACATACTTTGCATGTAGAAGGTCCCAAGCTCCATCTATGAGATGTCCAAGTAGGACTAAAAAAGCACCACCCTGAAACAGAGGAAAGTTGTTCTTGACAGAAGGCAGATTTTTACATTCACAAGATGGAAAGCTACTGCCATCCAGGGAAGAGAGTCCTGGATTAAATGGACTCAGTAGGGCTGTTCTGTGCAGAGTGAACTAGAAGGGGAAAGCATACAGTAGGAAGATGATAATCCTTTTCCAGATTCCTGGGTCCCCCGTCATGCTGGTCGAGCATCAATGCTCATGTTGTATAGAATGTGCAAAAAGGAGCTCTGGTGGGCACAGTGGGTTAAGTCACCCATAATATCTGAACTGATCTATTTGCCAACTTCATATGACTGTAGAAGAAACCACCTCCTACAGCAGCCTTCCCACCTTCTGGTACCCTGCAGATGGGTTCTGAATGTAACTTCCAGAATTGCCAGACAGCTTGGTCTAAAGCTTCTGGGAACAATCATGCCAACAAATTGGGCAGGCCTCTGGTTGGGGAAAGCTATTCTCCAGAATATTCTGAAAGGAAATGTCAGTGCTGGAAGATCATACATCTCATTACATCTCAGCTTCATTTATACATTATCCAGGCAATCTGGTTATTTCTGAGAAGCAAGCAAGCAAACAAAACTCTTCCACTTCAGAGAAGTAACACATGCAAGAGGTCAGAATTTGACCTTACTGTAGGCAGTGAATCCAGAGCTGCAGAAATTCAGCCTGTTATACTCTTTGGAAAGAAATCTCTAAAAATTACTGACAGAACAACACAGAAACATGGTGAACTGTAATAAGTAAAGATAATTGTATACAAAGGTTATAGAAACTAGGAAAACTAGTGGAGAAACTAAGGCCAAACTAATTGCTGAACTACATCTCCCAGCATCTCTTCCTACTGACAGTGCAGTAGGCTAGAGTTCTGGGCCCCAACTTTTCTATAAAATATTGAGGTGGTGTCCCTCTCCCTGTTTTCTTATCTTACTTAGTTCCTTCTATAGATTCTTTCCTTTTTTCCACCAGGTTTGGACTGACCCAAATCAGCGTCAACATAGTAAAGATCAATAAAAAACTGTATAGTCAAGTTTAATGCAACACTTTTGTGGATTTATTTTAATCTGTGTGTATGTCATGTTTTGTTTAAACCCATTTTTATTGGGTTTTTCAAAAAGATACATACACTGCTTATACCTGGTTGTAGATTTCCCTTCTATATATTATAGCAATAGTAAAAAACCCAAACCATATCAATACCAAGATAGAGTGGCTGCTTTTCAAAGTGGGTCCACTCTAACATTAGTTTCCACCCCTATCAGATCTACTTATCGGAGAATCATAGAGTTGGAAGGAACCTCCATCTAATCCAACCCCCTGCTTCATGCTAAAATATTTAGATAGGTGGCTTTCCAGCCTCTGTTTGAAGACCTCCAGTAAAGGGTTCATACCACTTGATGAGGCAACCTATTCCACTGGTTGAGAGTTCTTAATGTCAGGAAATTCCTCCCAATATGTAACTTGAATCTACTTCTCTAGAGTTTCAACCCATTCATTCTGGTACTGCCATCTCAGACAATAGAGAAAACAGCTGTAATATCTCCCAGTCTTCTCTGCTGCTAGCCAAGCTTATCCAGTATTTTTAAGTGTTCCCTTACTGGACTTGGTTTCCAATCCCCTTACCATTTTTAGCTATCCTCTGAACACTCTCTAGCTCTTTATAGACTATGGGGCTCAGAACTGGATGTAGTATTCCAAGTCAGACCTGACCAAGGCAGAATACAATGGACAGTTACTGACCATTATGCAACTCATCTGCTCCTGGAAACTTGAATTAATTTAAATAATACAAGTGTTCTTCTATCTTATCCTTGCTTATCCTGACTTCTAGCTCTGTCCTTCACTCATAGCACAGCAGTGGCCAGCTAGAGCTTTGTTTCCATTATGGGAGAAAATAGATGTTAAATATGAGATGACATTCTGCCCTTCTTAACACCACTCATTACCAATTCACTGCCTTTTCTTTGTAATAGACCTTCAGCTTCTTTGGCTTTCCTTTTGCTTCTCCACCCCTCCCACCCCCCTTTTGTGTTCTTTTGGACATTTCTCACAAGGCTCAGCTCATTCTGTGCTAAAGCTGTTCTGATAAAACCCTGGAAATTGCCTTGTATCATTTAGTTGTACACACCTTCTTTCATTTCCTATATGTGTTCCTTCTTTTAAACATTTCAGAAAGCTGTATGTGTACTCACACTGGTCTCTTTAGATGTCTTCCATTTTTCCTTCATGTATTCCTACAATTATGGGTAAGCACACCTTTAGTATTTTGCAGGATCTTCAGTCTTTCGCAGTTATGTTTCTCCTTCAGGATTTCAGATCATTAGATCTGTCAAGCCTCTATCAGAAGTGCATGACCAAGAAAGCTAAATTCACACAGAGATCTCATTGATCAAGTTTAATTTCAAGAAAAAGGGTTAGGTTACAGAATCTCAGAAACTAGTAAGTATGCTCCAGACTTTATTAAGTAATAAGTACATTAGTGTGAACTGTTTGATCTTTCCACCAATTCTGTAATAGATGAACTGATGCCTTAATTAAAAGATAAGGCTGAAATTTCCATTTTGTCTTTGGTATGTTTTGAAAATAATCTTCTTCTTCCCCAGACTCCCCTCATAAAATCTGACCTACCTTCTCTCTTAGTTCATTGAAATCCAGCATATAAACCCAACTCTTTACTGTATTATAATTTCAAAGATAACATTCTTCCAAGCTTTTAGACATTTTTCTTCTTCAACCAATCTTCCCTCTTGGAAAGAAACAGGTCCAGGATAGTAGATTAGGTCCATGACAATTTCCTCTTCCAGCATCTGATAAATGAAATTGTCAGCAAGACAGGACAAGAATTTGTGGAACCTCAGATTCCTGGCAGATGTGAGGATAGTTGGAATCTCTCATCATCATGATCACATGCCCTTTTTTAAAGTTGGTGCTATGGCACAGAAAGGACTCATTTATATCTTCTCCTTGTTCAGGTGATCTGTAAAGTGACTCCCACAATGATATTACTTTTGTTTTACTCTCTTTCTATTCTTACCCATGTGCTCTCAGGATTTATGTACTCTAATTTGTGAATTTTTGCACAAATTAGGCATATTCCTTTTTTACATACAGCACAAATTGTCTCTTGAATTTGTTTCTTTTGAATAGGTTGTAGCCTTTCAGGACTTTATGGCAATCAGGTGTATCATACCACTAAGATTCAAGAATGCTCGAGGCAGCATATTTGTCCTCTTATGTTAGGATTTCATGTTCTTCCTGTTGGTTTCCCATACTCTGGGTTTCCCTTCACCATTGTAGTTTTCTGACAATCTCCAAATCCCTCCTCTGTTGTTATGCTTCTTCTTTTGTCTTCTGTGTTATTGTCCTGAGTCCTTGGCATTATAATTGCTTCTGGGCTTTTGCTGCCCTCCTTCTTTTGTTCTAGTTTAATATCCTCCAAATTGCATTTGATGACATTCTTCCCAGTCTTCTCAAGATGTAGCCTGTTTCTTTCCAAAAGTTCTGATGTTGGTAGTACAGTCCATAGTTAAAGAATTCAAACATCTCTGGTTAGCACCAGTTGTTCACTTCCAGAAACATGTTATCTCTTCTTATGCCATGTTCCTCAGTTGAAAGGATTGGTGAAACACTACTTGCATTCCCAGATCCTTCACCTTCCTCAGCAAAGCCTCTTAGTTCAAACCCTCTTCTGGCAGCATTGTTCATCATCACATGAATCAGGAGGAAGAGACTGTTTTTTTGTGGGTTTGAAGAGTCTTGGCAGCCTGTCTGTCACTTGCTAGATATGAGTACCAGGAAGACAACACACCTCCTGCAACGTTATATCAGCTTTCTGCCCTAAGCCTCTGTTCCTCTTGACAGGGAATTACTCACCACAGTGTGCCTCCTTTGTAAGGTATGTGGGAACTATCTTGGGAAACAGAACTAAGAGCCACAGCCAGGGCAATGGTCAGATAAGTGGCAACTTAGCCCGCAGAAGGAATATGGGCATGGCAAACATCTCAGAAGGGACCCTCCCTAGTTTCTTGGGCTATAAAGGCAACAGGGGACAAAATGTACCTTCAGACTTCCAAGATTCTGTTAAAGTAACCTTAACAATAAAGTAGAATTAGTTCATCTGGGTGTGCTTCTTGTCTGGACTGCCTCGCAAGGCTGACATCCTTTTCCTCAGCTTGTTTGTTTCCTCAAATTAATTGCTTTAACCTAGCAATATATATATGCTTTGAGATACTTCTTTTTAATGAGAAGTGGTAAACAAATGTTTTAAATCAAGAAAGTATCTCTCAATTCTGTTTACCTACAGAGCTATTGGGTAGGTAACTTGCTCCTGCATCTAACTACAGAAGCAGCTTTTTAGTAGCAGCTGTAATTCAATAGCAAGATGTACACTAGCTTTATTGTCACAGTTTCTAATCGCCCCAGGAATGAAGGTGGAGAAGTTGAAAATGGCTCAGAAATTATAGTTGAGGTATCCCATCTTCAGCCATTTTGCTCTGAAGGTCTCCATAACAATGAGGGACGGTTTCTGCCAACTTCTTTCTCATTATGCCCCTTCCAATCTTTCATCAAGCATCATCTCACTGAAACTTTGCCCTGGACTTCCCTCTGGTGTGCTTTATTGTGCCACTATGCATAACTCAGAGCTCTTTCCTGCTCAGCATAGCTTTAACACTGCAGGAATTCATTAAAATTCCCTTCC